TACCTAAAAGTCGTTAAAAAGATGTCGGGTTCGCTTTCCGCTGCCACCAGTGTAGCGTCCCGCGGCTCCAAATGAGGTAGTAGAAGGCATAAGTGAGATTGAATACATGTATTCCGGAAGCAATATGAGAAATGGAGCCTGAGCGTGGCCCGAAGGCCAGCCCACGTGTACAGGGCCCAGCCAATCCTAAAGTGACCGCCAAACGTCAGATGGTCGCATAAACAAAGCATTACAGGCAGTTCATACAAACATGACACAAAAATCCTTGCAAACATTGCGGGTAGTTGAATGCGCAATGTACTAGTACGCATGCGCACATATGCTAGAGAACTCGATATGCAATAATCCAAGTGAAAGTTGGGAAAAAAGGCATTCCAGCAAGGTGTTACTGTAGCGTCCCGAGGTTTCTCATAGAGCGGAATAAAACGTAAGCGAGGATAAACACCTTTATTCTGAAGATTACAGGGCAAATGGGACCATATCTTGGCCCGAAGTTTGACCCACGTGTACAGGAGCCGGACAAATTCTAAAGTAACCGCTAAACGCTAGTAGTCACATAAACAAAACACTAAAGTTACTTACCCTTGGTTCAAAATCTTTGTGACCTTTCATGCGTTTAAGCCTTTCGGCCCACCTTTTTTTCCGATTTATATAAGCGACACCATTTACTAATCCACATGTTAATTGCTGGAGCCTTTTTATATACTGTCCCCTATTTACTGCGTTCAATCTGGAAAAAACAAGTTAGTTGTTCCCTAGCACCTTCAAAATTTAAGACTACCTGGGAACGGTGCAGCTCAAAGTAGGTTTAAACGCATTCCTTCTTCATACCCTACATGTGCTTGATAACAAAATTGATACCATGATCGATAACCTTTGAGACTTGTTCCTTTAGCTTTTATAAATTGATGCATAGCCGCAAATTTATAGGCAAACGTATCAGTCTCACGTGTGCTGTTTTGTGCCTTGGCTCTCTATGAAATCCTTCCCACTCTTGATTCGTCTGCACACGCCAATGAAATCTGTTCATGTGGTGGGCTGACAGAGCTAATTTGGGCGCTGCCTTGTTTTGTTCCAAGAGCGTTTTAGTTTTCTTCTATTAGATTGGAGTGTGGGATAGTCTTTTTTTCTATTCTGATTATTGTTGCGCTATCGACCGTCGATGTCTGTTGCTCTGGTTTTGACAAATCTCTGATTCCCTTGCTGCATGTTTTACAAATGCTAGTTACACATTTGTATAGTTTGGTTTGATGTGTAACTTACCTGGGGTCTCAAATTGGAGTGCCCTTGGGAACAACCTCTTTTCCATCTATTACTCAGAGTCAATCAAAATTATTCGTTCTAGCTAAACGTGATACTGATTTCTTTGCATGTCCAACTGTCATAAGTTGACATGAATTTCATTTGGGATACTTACAAGGGGGTTGTCATCTGCACATTTTTTTGGCGCAGATTGGTATTTTCCGGTGTTAAAGTGCTGAAGTGGAAAACGGAATGCTCAGTGCTTTTTTGAAATATCTCCATTCTCTCCCAGTACGTTTTCTCGTCACTAAGATATTTTTTTGTTTATAGAAATCATGTCCGACTTTCAAGTTTGTAATAGTCACAGGCAACGAGAGTTGCGACCTGGATAGCATTGCCTGTGCAACCTGTTACGCTTACATAAAATCGAAGGTAAGTTCATTTTCGGTGCCTTATTTGGCTTTCCTTTTCAGGAGGATCCGGATAAAGAAGTAATCTACATCCCTTACTGTAACATACCTGAATCTGACATCGACCTGCGAACTGAAGCTACATTCTGGCTAAGAAACTGTCAGATTGACAAGAAAGATCTGTTTTACGCCGGCAGCTTGAACTGGTTGTTGGGTCCAGAATACGCAAAAGAACTGTCCCTCATTTTGGTTGACCACTTTCAGAAGGAACCGAGCAATGCCTTCGTATTCTGCCCCGTTTCTGAAATAATTGACCATCATCCTCTTCTTCCAGATTATCGAAAGCCAGGGACATGCCAGTTCTTCCTGGTTGAAAAAGTCGGTTCCTGTTCCTCTCTTCTGGTCCACGAACTCTTCAACCGGATTTCACCGGCGTTGATACCACCAGAGCTTTGTCGATTGTTGTACGGTTGGTATTTCGATGTCGACTTAAACTCTTGCAGGTGCTATACTGATTGACACTGATGGGCTGTCGGAACGAGCAGTGGAAATTCAGAAAGCAACTCAGAAGGACGTGGAAGCTGTGAGAAAGTTGGAAACCTTTGCTGGAATGGCCTTACACACTGTAGGGACCACGAGGACATCCATTTACGCGGCGATCTTGGAGGCCAAGTTTTGTATCGATGGTAGTCGCTCACCGTGTTCTTATCCCGGGCTAACCAGCTTTAACAGAGCATTAATAAGTCATTGATCTGTTTGGCTTTGAATGACCTGCTAGTTGATTTTCCTGAGGTTCTTTATGCAATTATGAATACCGAAACCTCTATGCCAAACACTGGCACTGCTCAACTTATGCACTAATGAGGTAGTTGATTTTAATGCTTGATACTTTGAGTTCTGGTCGTTCCCATTAGTTTTGTTCTGATAGAAATTTTGGAAATTACATGCATTAACGTTGACTTCGCGGATTTGAATGTTGAAAATTTACTGTTTCCTATGCTTCTTCATAAACTTCAAGTTCTTCGAGTTTATCGCAGGAGAATAAAATACTTTGCCGTTTTCAGGTCTTTCACTTTGGGACTTACTCCGAAGAGATTGCAAAAAAGTCATTGCTGACTCTGATTCCCACACTGATATTGTGTGCTCCACAATCACAGGCATGGACTTTAAGGTAACCTGTTGCCGTACCTTGCTGTGCATGTCACGTTGTCTTTTACATAGTTTCTTACTGTTTATCGTAAATCCGGATTTTGTGTCTTCCAGTCTGCATTCTTCTGCTGTACCTTACCTTTTTAGGAGCTTTTGGATCGTGATGATTTCAATCAGGAGGCGGCTCGGTTTTGCGAGGAGCAGAATGCACGGGTGCTGGTGTGTGTGACTGTAGGACTCGCCTCCCTGCCCTCCCGTGACCATTGTCTTGACCAGCCCAGCTCCATGCCACTTTCCAAAAAATTTCATCGGGGCGTTGTTGTCACTGCGCCTGTTAGGTACCGCAACCTCATGAACAGTGTAAAGGATGCCATATTTATTCTTTCATTTAACATAATGGTATTAATGGCTCTACTTGGAATAATGAGTAGTATGCCTCCCATATTGCACGCACAGTTTCTTTGTGCTGCTAACCTAGCGTTGGAAAAATGAACAACTTTAAATGCTTCTCAGCGCACTCATTCTTTGGACTTCGTTGAGTTTTCTACTTAATCTAGAATTAATGTGAACATAGGAAGCCTATCCGATTCAGATATGCGGTTATTGGTGACTGTTCACAAATTTTCACACTTTCACACTGCATGGATATAACCAGAGCTGAATTAATTAAGTCAACAGTATTCATCCATCGCATTTCCTGTCATTTAAAGTCACTGACCGATGTTGTAAATGCTGAGATGGTGTATTGTTCGGTGAAAAATGGTGGCGTTAATATCATGCAACCTGAAATTAACCTTGGTTTTGGCTTTTTGTTTCATCACTTTCACAGTGTACTCTTTGCGGGTGTGGCAGACGCCAGCTTGACTATTTATTATGTTATCACTTGAATGTGCATCATCTAATCGGGTGATGTTTTGCTCTTACGTCCAATTTTAAAGTAAACAAAATATCTGACAAACGTAGCGGAGCTGCGTTGACTGGTATTGCGTGGAACTGCTTCAAATTTGAATGGCTCTGTAGAGAGCACTTTGCATGTAAAGATAAGTGCTACTTAATGGATAAATGCTTGTCTTTGAAGTAAATTAACCCAGACTCATTTATGTTTTAGTCCTTTCCAGTTTTGAGTCCTTTTTTTACGCAGAAGACGTACATCGTTAGTGCATGCTCTCGTGAAATCTTAATTAGCACTTTTTCCATAGAGGCCATTCAAAGAATAACCCGGTTTTGCGTGGTCTTGGTGTCTCACCTTCTTAGTGCGACTCTAAATGTCTCATTTTTGGCCGCTAACCACTAGCAAATACTAGCGAATTGTAATTATCCCATATCTGGCCACTTATCATCCCTTTTTTTCACGACAATTTGGTATTAAAAAAGCGCATTGTGCGCATTTATGATGCAAGATTAATGCATAAATATTAAGACTATCATATTGTTCCTTTTTAGTTTTGCTTTTATGTCTTGCAGATGTTCAAACAAACGTAATGGTAAAGTTTTCTTTGCTACTTGCGGTCTTTCAGTTGTGGGCCCACCTGCTGGCGAATGCCAAGGATTTTCTCGTAGGATACCCTCTGGGTGGGGAATTAAGCCACCACAGCAGTGTCGGTGAAGTCGAAACCGGTGTCTATGTTGCGCGTATAACTGACGAGGCAGTCACACGAAAGCAGTTGATACCTCTTCTCATTGACTTTTTGCGCTCACAAAAGTAATATCCCGGTCAGGTACGTCCTTTCAGCCACAGATATCATTGGAGCCGCCCCCTTTTTTATTAAACGCAATGCAGTCTGCTATTTCTCGTCTTAAAGTCTTCGATGATATTTGCTTTGTTAGTATTGATGATATGCTATAATTCTTTTCTGCCGTTGGATTCATCCAATTTCGGTTTCAGTTTGCTGTCATCAGTAGGTTTTATACGTATTGGCATCACATTTGTTATGCTTGATTATTCAGTCTCACCTTTCAGTGCGAAGTGGTGGTTACATACTCTTTTACGAATTTGAATATCTTTGCTGCTTTGCCGTTTGTTGGGGTTAGAATTATGCTTATTTTACCGTGCCTATCTCTCGGAATGGCGCTACATAACCCATATACGCTGAATAAGCAAAGTCAAGGTTCTATGATGGGGCAATATACTAGCAAGATTTCAGCTTTGATCATCGAGGTCTCAAAACTTATGAATATTTTGCAGTGCATCGTGAGGCATTGCACTGCCTGCACGGCGCCATTTCATATCCAACGGTGTTCAACTAATTGGAGTTTTGATAATTATATTATTAATATTTTGCTTAATGGGGACATGTGCACGTTTCTGACTTGGGCTGTTGTTCTGGGTAAATCGTGGCGCCATCTCAATCATGGTTGCCACTCCACCCGACCTCACACCCTCTATCCTTATTGGACGGGAAATTAATGATGTGTCAGGTTTAGATGCTGGCAGTGTCTTATTTTCTCGTGATTTTGTGAATGGGAATTACTCAATAACATATAATGGTTTGGGCGGTTGCAAGGCGTTGGGATTTTTCGAATTCATTCCCAAGTATCGCCATTTATCGTGTCGTGGATGAGCTGGTCTACAGTTGGGAAGCAGAAAGGATAGGCATCATCTTTTCTCACCCACTCACACCTTCTACGAAACGGCGATTTGAGTTGACCGATCGTGGATATTATTAAAATGATCCACCTGAACGCCTTGAAGGAAGGCTTCTCGTGCTTAAAAAATGAATGATTTACTCAATTACATAACACTGTCAAATGTATCAAGCATGTACTCAGCTTGGCTTTCCAGTTCCGTGGTACACCGTTTTTTTATTGCTTTGACTGAAATAAAAGTAGTCCATCTAGAGACACTGGAAAGGCGGGCAGAGTTTGAGTCTCATGTCTGTCGAAAAAATGAGACAGACTAATGAATACTTGTTTATATAGCTATATTTCCATGAATCTCGAGTTTATAACAACAATTATGTATCAAACCATATTATCTGTAAGAAAGAATAAGTGCTGCACTTTTTCTAGTTTTTTGGCTGGGCAAAGTCGTGCATTTTGCTTGTAGTCTAATTTTACTTGCAAATATGCGACCTCGCCATAGGAAAACCTCGTGACCCGGATCTTGTGCTGTTCCTCTCCCTCTATCAACAATCCTACGTCCACCTCCCTTGATCTCTCTAATCTCCCCAGTTGGTCAAAGCGTTACGGCAATGCGTAATTGTTCGCTGAGGCGCCACCAATTTTGCACGCAAACCCATCGAATCTTTGCGTCTGGGTATCCAATGTTGTTACAATTCGGGTAGAATTTGTATCTAGACGCTAATGGGGGTGGTCAGCGAACTTTTGCTTGTCCACTTAGTTACGTGTTTCGTTTCACCTGCGCGGCATTGATGAACTTGCCATGTGGTAAGAGGAGGAAAGAGTGAAGAAGGGGTGTCTCGCTTCCATTGCTCCTGCCGCCTCCGCTAGCAAATGTTTCCGTATTTGTATGCATTCGCATGACAGTAGTGTCACGAATAGCAAATCGCTGCCTTTGTCCAGTGCCCTTGGTGTCATCCTGTTTTTTGCACAGGCTTTTGTACCTTGGGTAAGCTCCTATTCCGACTATTGGTGTCCAGTATTCAAAAATGAGAGCGGTTTTTCATCCAAGTACGCGGTTGCTACGCCATTGTGGAGTACACTTGCGGCTTCATAATTGTTGTCGTGTCACGGTCACCTGTTAAGCTGAATGATGGATGGCACACGAGAGTTGCCTTCAGAGCAGTGATCGTTTCTTTCCTCTATCGCCAACTTGATGTTTTCCACTCATTTCTCTCCTGTTATTAAAATTCACTTTGCATGAGATTCACATGAAAATCCACGGTGTCGAATTCGGTTTTACTCTCGAAAATGCAGTGTCTTATGCTAATGTCACTGGCTTATCATTTTTTAAGCTTGAAAAAATCTTAAGTTTTTGCTCTGTAATTCTGGATTAAGTGCCTGCAAAACGGCTAGATTTGTTGCTGAAGCCCTCCTATGCGTGCACACACGCAAACGCTAGCTTTTTCGCATTTGTTCACTATGGGTGCGCCGTAAAGCACTATCGGCTGGGATAGTGGGAGCGGTCGAGTCGTTCAACTGTAATTTGTTATCTCTGCTTGTTTACAGTAATTTCCTCGGGCACCGCCATGTGTTCCCATTGGTGTTTGTGTTATGTACACCTGCTTCAGTGAAGGTAAATATTAAACAGTTATTGGATTGGCCGAGTTGGAATTGCTTTTATCAATTGCAGCTCATGTGTTTACATTTTCAGGCATTGCAATAATGATTGCTTTGAGCCTAATTTGGTAAATGGCTTGATCAAAGTTTGAGGGGCGTATAGTTCTACTGCACTAGTGGGTTTAATCTTATCTCCGATTCGGTAGGCGTCGGCAACACCGTTTTGCAAAAGGTCGAGCTGCGTGTTGTGGGAGAGAATCTGTGTTTCAAAATACCATCTATTTTCATTTCCTACGGTTTCTTCAAGATAGCCTTAAAAAAATAAGAGTCTTGATCGTAACACCTGAAACAATAGTGATCAAGTGTCAGGTCCCAAAACTCAACTTTCACTTGAACTTCATCTCTATTTTTTAAACTCTTTGGTATTTTATTTCTGATTGGAATTTTGCCGAAACTGCATGAAGGTAGTGGTTAGTTGGGGACATGCAAGGTAGCTGTCATGAAGTTCCGTGACAGCATAGAGGCTAAATTACGAGCAGTAGGCGAGGTCCTTGCAGTCGGGTACCGGATATTTTCCAAATAAATTATTTGCGAACCGTGCATAAACGCAGAGTGCTTGAATGGGTTGCTTTTCTGGAGTTTGTACGATTTCATTTGGACAATGGGTGAGTTGTCGTGCCTACTTGTTGCCAAGGCCATCAGCATCACTTTTTGCTCAGTTGAGTAGGGAATTGGAAATCTGTTATCATGGTGCTTACTCTCATTTTATCCGGTCATCAAGACGATAAACAGCAAATAACTGCTTTAAATTTGCTTTATTGTTATCTACCCTTTTATTGCGTGTGCAAATTCACTTCCCTATATTCTTCGACTCCCATGCCATTCCTTGCCCAAAGCCCACTTTTCCAGAATCAAACATCACCATTGAGTCAGTCCTTGTATAGTTAAAAATTTTGTTTGCAAATTCGCCTTAACCTTCTAGCTTTCTGTCTAGACTGGAGAAGGGGTGGAAAGTGTTGGCAGTAAACACAGGCGATTTTGATCGTGCCACCGTTTTCAGCACGCCATCCAAGCTGAAAAGAGCACACGCACATGCGCAATGGCAGTGAAGGGGATTTTTTTAGACAGCTTGAAATTTGGATTGCTTTAAATTCTTTTGGCATGCTTATGACCTGATGTCCGGTCTTCTCCACTCCGCAGAACTAAACCCACGCAACCCTTCTATCCTCTCCTAACGACGCCAGTCTCAACCACTTCTTAATTTAATTTTTAGTTGATCGCTGATCCTAGGGCCACCCAGCTGGAATTCTCAAAATGCATGCGTTGATAAGTGACATCAATTGAACGATGCTGAAATGTCCACCCCTACCTCTCCATCATGTAATTTTTTCTGCAATGTTATTGCTCTTCATTTTCTCTTTCAGATGCACCTCGGATCACCCGCTTCTTCTCGTTTCCCTTAGCCCCATCTCTCCTTTTTGGAACTCGGCGTTTTGTGCTGTCTATGAACAGCAATCAATAAATCTGGTTATCACCAAGCTTCCGCTTTTTGTTCTACGTCTAGTAATGCATTAACTCCCGTTCAACTATGGTCTTCTGACTTTGAATGGAAATGATTCGCTATTGAATCATGCATCTAGCGTAAAAGTTTAAGGACTGCTCAAGATAAGCTCCTATTTTGTTTGTTGGTGACCAGACAGCACTGCTTTTTCCCTAATCACAGATGGTTGTCAGAAGCCTAGCAAGGAAGAGTACCGATTTTCCATTGCACCTTTCCCGAACTCCGGTGTCAGCTTCATGAAGTGTAATATTATCGGTTTCAATCGCAGTTCCTCTTGTTCCATCTCTCTCATCTGCCTACTCTGGTGAATGGCAGTTTCTAAAACCACCAAACAGAAGAGGTCTCTGCAACAATTACGAAAAGTACCATTTAATGCAGTCGCGGACATGTTCTATCCACTACTGTAGGTAACTATTGTAGTATCAGCACTCAACTTGGGGTTGTCGACTTTTGACAGTACTCACCTCACGAGCCTTTTCTGCTCTGCTCTAAGACTCTGCAAGCTCGAATTCATGGCTCGGAAGCGCCTTTCGAACTGTTTGGACGATTCATTGTAGCAAGAAGGTGGAATTCGGGTCTTGCTCGGGATCTTCTTAATTGCATTTTATTTACTGTGCAAAAAAATGCGTTTGGCGACAGGCTCAAGACAGTGCCATGATTACTCACGTAGCAATAGTAATCCAGCAAATTCTAATTCGCCTCTAACCTGTCAATTGGCTGTTTGGCATTTGTAACTGCATCATAATTTTACTCCCAAAGAACGTCACCGATTGCTACAGAATTTATTTACCTATTCCTCATGCTCTTGAAGTTATGAAATGAATTTCTGAAACTAGCAAAGTGGAAGCTGTTTGGAGTTGCAGTCCATAGCTTTTAAGGAAACTCTACTGCTTGGCTATTTAGATGATTAACTCGTCTGTAGGTCCAGAATGTTCCCCTTTCCGTTGTACTGTTTTAATCCCAACC